TAGGTTACAGAGTTCATCTGTTCTTTTGTTTGCATGAGAGAATAAAGTTTAAAGCATTAAATATTTTTATTACAACCGCCTATACTGATTACTGTGATATAGAAGAAAGGATTTATTTCCCTTCAACCTATAATGATATTTCACTCTACGGCAGCTGCATATTCGGTTTTTCTACCGACTTTATTCACCACTTTTGATTTATGCCGTTAGGCGAACATTAACGGCTGAATCCAAGCATTTATCATAACATACTGAGCATTTTATGTGAACCGTTCCTTGTTTTTATTGGTTTATAAGCTAAAGAAGAGAAAAAAATACCATTAAAGAACCAGTATCGGTCAAAACGGCTTTGTGTATTATTGTGTGTACATAATACACCAATCATAGATTAAAAGATATGGGAGATGATGATGTTATGCTCTGTTAACAGTATGGACGTAAGACATAGCATGAATAGTCATTAATTTTATTTCGTTATATATCATAAGAACCGAACAGCAATATTTACTTCAAATATTGCAGATTTTAGAAACAAAGCCCTTAAATGTTTCATCATATTTTTTTAGGTACATTACAGTCGTTTTAAACAGAACAGGGACTGTATAGGGAGGATTTAGGTAAAGAAAATATAGTTCGACTTTCTTTTGTTTCAGGTTATTAACAGTGTTTGTCAAATATTCAATAAACAACAAATATTTACGATATTTCATAACTAAAAATTACATTATTTTATTTAATAAGTTAATAATGTTTAATCATAACCTTCTAAGAAAATTAATGGAAAAAAAATATTTTATGATTCTGGTAAAAACTTCAAAAGTGTCTTTTAAGAATAACCTATTTTATGGGTTAACAGGAAAATATTAGAACCTTTTATTCTTTTTATTACAATAACGTATCTACTATTCTTATTGAATCCATGGGACTATATATACCAGGCTGATACCTCGTGTGGCTAGGTAATTAATGTGAGAACCTGAAATGGAATCAGACAATAAATGGGATATCAAAACAGAAATAAGATATACTTTATTGCACAGAGGTTGAGAATCTTTAAAGCATTGTGCTATTTACTTAAGCATTAATTTACCTTTTATCCTGAAATAAACAAGCTAGTGAATATTTATGGACACAGAATATCCATGTACTGCTCAAATTTACAGTAAAGTAATGAAAGCGGTACTCAAAATAACTGATTAACTACACGACAGACAACGTAACAGATAAAACAGAACAACGTAACCTAATAACACTAGATCTAAAAGATCTCTAAAAGACGATCTTTGGGTTAATGGCGCTCATAAATGACAGCTTATTGATTCGTATTGTACTAATTACACTACTGACCTTTATTTACTGTATGGATACATGGATTAGTTTCCATACCCATGATATATTAAAGCATAACTTAACTTAATCTAGTTACAAACAGGATACAAATTAATCCTATAGAAACGTCCTACTGCCATCTTATGTTTGTAGCTTTCTGAGTAAATTAGTAACATGGTCAGTTTTCAATCTCTACACAGTCTTTCACCACCTACTTACTATAAGAAGTATAGACGCCCTTGAAAAGAATATGTTGGCTTTTATACAAAGTTGAGTATGATATGTTAAAACGATCTTAGACACGTAGAATAGCAAGTCACGTGACAACCATAGCCGATATAAAGTCACAATTATCAGAATTGTCTTCTGACATTATTTGGCGTTATGTAATTAGTGAAATACCACCAAAAACTGATAGCTTTTGGGATGGCTATGCAACAGCCCTTTCCAGTGCAAAATATTTACACACTCACATCATTAAAAAGTGTTCAGATCGGAATTTAGAATTTATAAGGCGGGGACATTTCTTGTACTTAAGAGCATTTGGAAAAAAGGAATATGAACACCTTGGGACACCAGGACCTTCCAAAAAGAGACCTAAAAGAAGATTTCCTCACCGTGATCAGCAAAGTAAGGTTTCTTGTAGCAGGTGAGAATCGACCAACACGAATCTCAGTGGAAAAAGCTGTCCACGTGTCGTCTTTCAAAGCGCCACAATTCACGTGTAAGTAAGATATTTTACGACATATTATTTCAGTTGTCCATTTTTCAACTCGAGAATGAAACGGGTATTTACCCTATTCCATACGAAGACATACTGCTCAAGACGCTTTACATAGGGGTTTATGTATGATTGGACTGTTGAAATGGGCTTTGGAAAACCGTTCTTCTCGTACACTAGGTGGATTATGAAAAGTATGTAGGTAAGAGCGATGTGTATTGCACCTGAATGTCTTTAGACGGAGCCTTTTTGCAATGAAAATTACGCCGCAGAGCTATTGTTAAGCTGTAAAATCGTTTTAATATAATGCCCTCAACATCATGCAAACACACATGAAAAGAAACGTGTTAGTACGAAACCAATTTATAATATATCGTAAACTAAGATAAAAAATCATAGTTAAAGAAACTAAACAGTTACGAAGCTAAATAAGCAGGAAGAAATGTTGCCGATTCACTAAGTTTTCTATAATCTAACATTAATGAAGGGTCACAAGTTTTAAACTTCTTTGAATACTGTTAAGTATGCTTTTTTTGTTGCCAATTTCCCAAGTTTAGTTAGGCAAGTAATAATAAAATTTTACATAAAATCGAAACAAAATCAGTTTGAGCCATTGGCTTATGTTCCATGCGTCTATGGTGAAAGTAAGTCATTAGGGCTACTTGTTAGTTTGACAGTTTCTTTTTTTTTAATGACTTAAACTTGGTTGAGAGGCGAAATACAATAAGGATCATTACGGAATATTCAATGCCATTTCTTAGTATAGATGAAATAATCAACATTGCTTACATTGAAACACGTACTCATAACAAGATATAAACGAAAGAAGCTTCCAGGGAAAGCTAAAATGACTTCTGTTACTAGTAAATGAAAAGCGACGGCTCACGTGTCTTTGACAACATTTGAAGTTGTGGTCTTGACAGCGAAAATTATAAACAATATGTTTTTCGATGTAATTTTGACATACCTATTATGTATTTAATGTTTATTTTTGGACTTTGTATAATTATCAGGGGATTTTTATTGTTAATACATTGTCAACTATGAACTACTTAATTTGTGTTATTTGGATTTCTTTGATAACTTAACAGTTCTCTGTTATAAATTACTTTCGACATGAATTTTCGTACGAGGTGTATACCTTAAAGCTCGCGCATAATATATTAAGATACCAATTTTTTGTTGGTGTTTCATTGAAAATGAATACGGTGATGAATTCATATATGCGAATAAATCACAAAAATCGAAATGTGTTTGTTTGTTATTAAGCACAATAAACTATCTGAGTTGTGCCCACCACGGGTATCTAAGCCTTCTGACTTAACGATGAGCCACTAGGGAACCAGAATTAAGGAAAAATTTAATTACGTTTCGTTCGAGAAAATACTTACTAAATTTCTGTAAATAATACTCGAGAAAAACAAATTTGGTTCAGTACGATAAAAGATAACATAATGAATACAGAAATACATACTAAGTTCATGTGGTTGAGCTTTACAGTCAAACAAATTATGTCTGGTTACATAATTATATCTTGCTGTGCCAGTAAGTCCATAATTAATGTTTCATGTGGTAAAACAGAAATGACGTTCGTTTTTTTTATTTTGTTAATTAAGGAATTTTATAAAAACAAATTATTAATTATTGAAACACCAGTTAATCATCCATTACTGTAAGGCATTGATTAAACATTAGAAGTTTGATGTTGCACCACATTAATTATCTCGATATGATTAAACTGAATCGTGTGATACATACATATATATAATGAAATACAATGTGTGTTTCAACATACGAAACCACAAAGCAGCACAGTATAAAGTAAACGTATTCACTATAAACTAAACTCAACATGTTTGTGTATTCCACATTTATTCCTAGTGGTAGTACTAATTTATGTGTTACATGACAACGGATAAAATATTATTGAGACAAATTTAAACAACGTGTTCAAATCATGGATATTTTCTCTATGCAATTTGTGGTAAAATATTAAGGGTAAAGTAAAGCTCGTCAGATGGAAGGAAACACTTCATATTATCGTTCTTCTTTTTTTGTTCTCTTTGATATTCCGAAACAGTTTTTGCACTTATCTCTGTACCAGCAATCACGATCCACTCTCATCTAAGAACGCACAATAATATAATCCTGTTGTCTAAGATGTTCATGTTGTAAGCTTTAGATCCTAAAATACGTCAGTTACTGAGAAAAATGTACATTTATGCTAATAGCAGTTCCTGCCAATGAAAGAAAAAAAAAATATTGTATAAAATAATGAAAATTTATCGTTTTCTTCTTTTTTGTAATGTTATAAAAAACAGAACTTTATATTTATGTGAACAAAAAATATTTCCCCTTGTGTCAAAACATCGTATAATGTTTTTAGGAAGTAAGATTTGTAATAAAGATGTTTGTACTAAATTCTATGAGATAATAATTAACTTGCACGATTTAAGTTTAAAATGATTCCCTAGAGATATTTAAATGATAAAATATAAAATGTAAAAAAACTTTAATAAATTAAAAGCCTAATTGTATTCGTATAGTTTCAGTCACTGTTTGCTAGGAGTAGCACGCCGTTCTGTAAGAAATTAATGTCGACTTACTTTTAACTACATCAGAATAATTTATTCGTACGTATACTTTCAAAGTAGGTTTCACTGGTCTGTTTAAGCTTCGATCTGGAAATAATGCAGGTGGATAATATATAGTTAAGGAATTGCTAAGAATCAGATTTTCTTTTTTAGTCACAAACAGTTGCGAAATACTGCTTTAAAGCTATTAGCTACCAACCATAGTTGTGGATTTAGAATCTTGCATTCGCAAAATCGTTTCTTATAGTACACTCGCATTTAGGCCTCCCTCTACTGACGTCATGCGCCACGTGACTAAATCTTGGAAGCTGTTTTGAAAGCCTATCGCTCAGCTCTCACTCGCCTAATACCACTGGTAGTGGTTTGTGTATGTGTATAGAGACGAGAACAAGCTTGTCACTTGAGGTGCGTAAGCGTTCCAGTTATTCCCTTCATGGTGCTAGCTACAACAGAATCACTCGTGACGTTGATTAGTAGCCTACTAGTTTATGCCCGCTACTTAAGAAGCTTAACAGGAAAGACAGGCCGAGAACCTTAATCTTGTCTCACATTCAAGCAACAAAATAAATACTCAATTTCAGTATGAGTTTAGTGCAGTTTACAATTGTAGAGCATTTTTCAGTCTTGTGATTTTATTAATGTCTAATAAAATGAGTTCTCACGTCCCATCTTCAATTATAAGAATATACTTGTTCTATCCATACCTGCTGCTGGTTACTGCTGCAAGACTTGCAGGATCTCCAGGCAACGTTCCAGATACATCTCCTATTGGTAAGACAAGTTCTTATCCACGATATTTCTTTTAAAATATTTGTCTAACCAAAAATATTTTCATTAGATAGGGATCATTACTACTTAATTTATACTATTTATTATCTGTTGTGCAAATTTAAACGGGTCTACCCTTAAAAGTTCAATAAATAACTTAATGAATCAGAAGTAAATTATTAGATTTTATATGCCTAGATTTAAATTTAAATTGTTTATTTTCCTTACTCTTACTTTCAACATTCATTCTTTGGAAATTAACCTCCTCTCAGTTGTTTCACCCATAAGTATATAAAATTCAAATAAGTTAATATTGGACTTTTCCACACTAAAACTTCTGAACGTAGAGTTTATTTTACTTATATTTTTTTAACACCAAATCCTTTGAGCACAATAAATATTCTCTAGTTATGACTTTAAACTGTAGAAATTAACTTGTATGTTTCATAACATATCTTCTTACGTTAAACAATGAATCTACGGGTAGTACAAACAGTCGAAAATGCTTGTCACTAATACAGCTATGTGTGTATATCTATTTATAATGCAAGTACTTTTTGTTTCATTTGTGAGCAGGCACGCCCTTATTCTTTATTTGGAAACAAAGATATCAATATATTATTCTACTGCTTAATGTGGTTTGAACACGTAATGTCTGATATAGCAGTTTTATCCAACAGTATAAGTTGATGGAATGTCTTCAATGTTGAAGTTGTTAGTCTATCTCGTCTTAAGCGATCAGGAAAAGCTGGAAATATTATCTATTAATGCAAATGATTATTCAAAAACAGAAACCAGGCATCTATTAATGCAAATTATTATTTAGAAACAAAAATCAGGCATGTATAAGACATTGAAAGTTTGTTTGCTTTTGACTTTTCATGCAGCTAAACAAGGGCTACCTAGGTATAGTCGTTCCTAATTTTGAAGTAGTAGACTAGAAGGAAGGAAACTAGTAACAGCATCCGTCGCCAGCTTTTGGGTTACTCTTGTCTGATAGAATAGCGAGATTTAACATTTACTTTTATAGAGCACTTTTGGAACCAAAGTATGGATAGCATTTTTGTGACAATGGGACGCAAACTATAAACCATCAGATTCACATTTCGTGTATGGACTCTGCAACACAGTTCGTAACATTTAACGCTGCTGTCCTGTGTGTAGATATACAAACATATAAAAGATATGTTAAATACAATGAAAAAACAGGTTACATTTATTATTAAAATAACAAAAATAAAGCATTGCTCTTTAGGATTTTGATAAAATGCTAACAAAAGTTATTAAACACTTTTTGTATAGTGTAAATGTGTTTTCTATATGAGACTACCAAATTAACGTGTCTCCAAATTCTTTTTTCCTGCGCTAAGCTATCAACAACCTGTTCATATTAAATATGAACAATCTTTACCAATTATTGCCCTCATTTTTGTAAAACAAGTAAATATTACACAGGACGTGTTTCCCCGAATGTTCATGTTTATTTTCATAGAAATAAAAAAAATATTGCAAATAGTTCATTCAAAATTCAGATCTGTTCCAAATTGTTTTGGAAGTCCACTCTTTGTTGTAATGAAATTTATCAAATTATTGTAAAAAAGTCTGTACATATGAAGTCGGTTTCACTTGGTTAATGATTGTAAATGCACCAAGAAATGAAAAAAAAAAAAACCTTATCCAATTAAAAATAAAAATTTATAATCTGTAAGTATATAATTAGTATTTTATAATACTGTTATATTTGACATGTTTCAATATATTTCGATCTTTGCCCTATTTTCTATAAAGGTGGTAATTTTTGCTTCTTTGTGTTACTACATCCTATTACGACTTTCTTCTAGCTTATTTAAGGTAGCTTTGACCCTCAAAACTGGGTTGATTTACATGCTAAGAAAACACTGTTAAACACTTCTTATAACCTTCAAGTTGAGCACAAAACTAAAGTATGATGTCGAAATCTCTGAAAGTACACTTTTAGTCATATATGTTATATGTATTATTAATGAGGCCAGGATAAAGAAATAAATAACATAACTGTTTTAACATCATAACTTTACTTAGGAATGATAAAAACATGTGAAAATTAATACATATGCTCTTTGTGAACATCCTCATATCTTGAAGTAAAAGAAATTTAAATTTTTTGCAACGTTAGCGAGCTAGGGGCTATTAATTTTAATTAATGCCTTCGTTAGTAGTAATTAGTCTCATAACAAGACAATTGGTAAAGATTTCTGAATTGTAGAAAACTCAAACTATGGAAGAGTGTAATATCAACAAGTGTGCTAAATCTCATGCTTATATTGGCTTTAATGGTGAAGTTATCATGCTAATAAATCGGTGACCCCAGTGATAAGTTAGCTCAACTTGAAGGTTATAAGAAGTGTTTAACAATGTTTCCTCAGCATGTAAATTTACCCAGTTTTAAGGGTCAGTGCTACCTTCAATAAGCTAGAAGAAAGTCTAATATAACTTTAAAGAGGACAACATATCCGAATTTTCATTCTGAATAAATACGTTATCTCATGACTTCGTAGATGTGTTCTAAAAATGAGATATTATTGGTTATTTCTCTGTCTTTTGTTACTTAAGAGAAAATAAAATCTGCATATATTTTCCGATCTAAAAAATGTTAATATAATCATATATGCATGTCAGTGGTTGAGGTATTATTTATGGGTTAACTTGTCAATGATATGAATAACATGATATAATGTGTTATATAAATCCCGAAGGCAGCAATAAAAGGTGTGCACATTTGCATTTTATTTGAGCCTATATATATTAGGGATTGCGTAAAATTACTCTAAGCCAACTTTTCCAAGGTACATGAAATCCCAGTTATGATTGATATTCCTCATTATCTAATATGAAGAAAAAATTACTCTACATTAACTTTTAGTCATCTTTTTTTTTTTTTTTGTTCAATTCTGAAAGAATCCCTTGAGTTGGTCATGTAGATGTTTTGTCCAGACTGCTTTAAAGTCCGTACCACCTGGTGGACGTGGAAGGCGAGGAGCAGCAGCGGAAGTGCGAAGGAAGAGAACGAAAGTTTCTAATCAGTATTTGCGTACTCAGTAATCGATTACTTAGTTATATCACGTGACATATGTGAGACAAGTCGGTAACTCGTACCTGCCGTGTTGGATACGCTGAATCAGAATTTATTTAACTTACTGTATAAAATGGAATCTGGCAATTTGAGATTTATTTTGTCACTCAACAATAGCAACAATATTTTACCTCTTCAGTTGCCAAAAATATTTTTTTTTCAATATTTCAAGAATACCAACAATATTTTACCTCTTCAGTTGCTAAAAATATTTTTTCAATATTTCAAGAATACCAACAATATTTCACCTCTTCAGTTGCAAAAAATATTTAGTTAGCGATCTTAGCGCTTGTTGATACATGCGAATATATAAACATGTAAACTTTCCAAGTGTAAACGAAAAATTAAATATGGTATAGCATGATCTACTACCTACTTGATATTATTCATAATTTTATTGAAAATAAGTATCTATGCATTTTTTTAAAAAGTAAAGAGTTCTTTATTGGTGAATGAAGGGTTTACTTTCATAATAAAAGTTTGTGTTTTCGATTATAGCTCAATACATCTATTTCTAACATAGGAGCCGGGCGCGGTTTACCGGTTAAAGTACCTGTTCTGTACATTCGAGAGTTCATGGTTCGCATCCCGTTGTCATACATAATATAGTTAGTTCCAGGAATCATGCTTTTGTTGAATTCTAGTAATTTTTGCTGTTCATATTTACATGTTGTATACCATGTCTATAATTTTAAGTAAGGATTGGACATTCGTACTTTCGAACACCAAATGAATATTTACTGCATAGTAGAAAACAATTCAGAGTTAAAGACAATACGAATGAAGTTTTAGAATAACCCGAGTGTTTAAGATGTTTTATATAAGTAAACTGTTAATTACGTGAACCAACGTCTTATCTTAATTTATCTTTCGTCTTTGAATTTTGGAGTCCGATTTTTAACATAATTGTTACATATTATGTGGCATTTGTTTTTTATTTTTTGGGCCAAGTTTGGTACAATGGTGAGGGTGCTAATTGGAGAATTGACGGCTCGCTCATAATTGCCGCAAAATTGCGCTAAACATTTTCGGGTCCTGTATGTATTATAAAAGTGACAGACAAATCCCATTATTCGACTGGAGTAAACGAAAGTTTGTTGGTAATTGCTATTGGTCAGGAACTTTCTCTTTAGCCTATCGCTAGGAACCGGGTTTTGATACCCGTGTTGGGCAGAGCGCAGATAGCCTATTTTGTAGCTTTGTGCTTAACTACGAACAAACAGTTTGAAATTAGAACATCTAACGCATACAGCTTTACGCGAATATCAAAAACAGCAAATTACTCAGACTTTTCTCATTTTATTAACTCACTAACAAATTTGAAATTTTGAGGAGGTTGTGCTTTTGTGGAGGTTTGTTCTTCATTGCGGTGTTAGAATGTCATATATTTGTAAGTAACTAGAATGCTTCTGATTTAATGATTTTAGTTTCGATACATCTTTGAACATACATGGAAAAATACATCTACAATATATTATTTGTATACTAATACCGTAAAAACTCTAATTTTGTGGCTAAAAAGGTTGCTATCTTGAAGGTAAATGTCAATAAATTGGTAAAGTCAGGTAAATACGTCCACACGTCTTAAAAGCTCTTTCCACAGAAAATGTTCACACTTTTCACACCTATCTCTGCACTTTTCGAGTGAAGAATACACAACGACCATCTCTGTTGTAACGACAATTTATAATTTTAAATAATTAAAAGAAGTGCCCTGTTGTGTAAAATTTAAAACTTGTTTATTGTCGGATATCTCTAATTTTACAGTTGATGTCGAATCTTGTTGTATTAGGCACATTATCTTTTTATTGAAATAGGAAAAATACCACACTTATGTGACCTTCCGTTGATTCAATCGGAGCCAAGTATTAGACTGAACAAAAACAAAACC